TGTGCGCTGGCAATCCAGAGATCCGAGTAAATGCAAAGAATTGCAACACACAGAGGTGAGAGAAGAAAATATTTATTTCAAAAACGTTCACCCCCCACAGACAGGGAGTGGGTCTACACTCTAGTGTGACATCAAGTCTTGGCTTAAATTCTTTCCTTGGAGATGTTGTACGTGACTGCTGTGACTTCCTTATCGACCACCTGTGGATGTCTTGGAGATCCTGTGACACAGAGACCCATTAATGTTTGTCCATATTATCACAGCCCCTAGAGAAGGGCGTGACCAGGATTCTAATTCTCCTGTATCTTCCCACACGACATTCCTTGGAGCTAATGGAGTGTGCACTTCCTCCTTATCTCCTAGGCATTCCCAGTAGATAGCTTCCGGGAATCCTTGACTTCCCTGTGGATAGGGGTCGTTCTACGGGAAGATTGAGTCCCCACCTGCTCCCCCTCTGGGACATCATAACTTTTGTAATTACAAGTTTCATGACTTTTATAATCCTTGACCAATGTATGATATCCTAGGCCTTGTAAATTCCCTTTACTCTAGGCAAGCTTGACTGACACTATGAGATACCTCTGATGCCTGGAAGTTTGTCCCTGAAAAGACAAAGTTGGTAAAGTTAATTTTACTTAAAGTGTGCATTTCTCCAAAAACATAGCTTTTACTTTCTCATCATTGTATTAAGATTTAGGAAGAAGAGTAAAGAAAAATGCATTTCCCGGTCTCTGCCTGTCCTTTCACATGCAATTATTTGAGTTGTGATATTAACTAGCTACAGTGAGCATTTCATGGGATACTATTTTATCTGATGGAATGTCTAACTGTGGTTATTCAGACTTGAGTATGTGGCAGACATTTTCTCAAATATGAAAAAACTGAGCCTGTCACTTCAAGGAAAACAATCAACAGTATTTGTTGCCATTGATAAAATTCTGTTTCCAGCAAAAATTAAAATTTTGGAAAACTTGTATCTGCCACTATTAGTTTCACATCTTCCGAATACTTCAAGAGTTTCCAATGAAATTGGTAGCAATGTTTATGTTTTATATATATATATATATATATATATATATATATTTTTGAGTTGGAGTCTCACTCTGTCGCCCAGACTGGAGTGCAGTGGCCGCTCTCGGCCACCACAGCCTCGACCTACTGGGCTCCAGCGATACTTCTGCCTCAGCCTTCCGAGTAGCTGGAATTGCAGGCACGCGCTACCATGCCTGGCTGATTTTTTTATTTATTGTAGAGATGAGGTCTCGCTGCCCAGGCGGGTCTCGAACCCGCGGGCTCAGGCAATCCACTCACCTCAGCCTCCCAAAGGCGCGGGATTATAGGCTGAGCCACCGAGCCCGGCTATGTTATATTTTTTATATTGTATAATAAAATATGTCAATATTCATAAGGTCTGCATTAGTCAGTGGACGAATATTTTCTAAAAGACCAATGCATGGTGTTACAAAACGACATGTGGGTAAAAGATCCTTTCAAAGTGCTAAGTAGACCAATGGATTTTAATATTATAGAAGACAAAAATTTTACTGATGCCATTTCAGATTCCACATTGCTGCCAACCTTGAAGTACTACCACTTGTTGAGTTTTAGTGTAGAATCAAAGAAGAATATTCACAACTATCTGAAAAGGCTATTAGAATGTTCCTCCCTTTTTCCAGTGCTTATCTGTGTGTGAGGCTGAATTTTCTTGGTGCACTTCATTCCAAACAACATGCCACAGAAGAGTGAATGCAGGCACAAATGTGAAATCCAACTGTATTCTCTTAAGGCAGACACTAAAGCAATTTTTTGAAGTGTAAACACTGCCATTCACTGATTCTTTTTGGTTTGAAGATATATAGATATGTAGTCTACTGCTTTTTTTTTTTTTTTTTTGAGTTGGAGTCTCACTCTGCTGCACGAACTGGAGGGCAGTGGCACACTCCCGGCCGCCCCAGTGTCAACCTGCTGGGCTCCAGCAATCCTTCCGCCTCAGCCTTCCAAGTAGCCAGAACTACAAGTGCGTGCTACCATGCCCGACTATTATTTATTTATTTATTTATTTTTATTTTTTTATTTTTTGAGTTGGAGTCTCACTCTGTCGCCCAGACTGGAGTGCAGTGGCGGCTCCCGGCCACCGCAGCCTCGACCTGCTGGGCTCCGGCGATCCTTCCACCTCAGCCTTCCGAGTAGCTGGAACTACAGGTGCACGCTACCACG